TCTCAGTACTAGGGTTATAGGCGGGACCCACGGTTCCCGGCCTATTTCCCTTAGACTTACACCCTCAGCACCCAGCGCTGGGCCCACACAGCACCCAGTAACAGCTGCCGACTCTGCCCTCTCCTTCCTCAAACATGCACGTGACCAAGCTATTCTTCCAGGGGTATCAGGACCTTCCTGTGCGCCTCCTTGCTACTGGATAAAGCCCAGTGACCTTATCTGGGCATTTGTGGCTCCATGGTCATCTCCCGAGAGCCACCCACAGCAGGCTATAGCTCCAGCCAAATCAATTTTCTGGTTTGCCCTGACTGTGAGCTAGGATGTCCATCATCCTTTCTTCCCTCACATCCTCACTGCCCTCAGCACACGCACATGGACACACAGACACACTCAGGTCTGCCTGATATGGCCTCTTTTTGTCCTCCCTAAGTCACATCCATGCTGGAGGCCCCTGAAGTCCCCTCCCCTCTAAGAAGCCTTTCACACCACTATGGCCAAGAGTACTCCCTCCGCCCTTCAGCGTACCCCACCTTGACAGCAGAAGCTTTATCTTATTTGTCTCTGAATCTGCCCACGCACCCTCCCCACACCTCCACCCAGCCAGGTGCATGGCTCAGTTCCTGGGACCCGACGTATCGCCCACGGTGATTACGAGAACCACTAATTCCGTGCCACTTCAAAGTAAAATGTAAAAGTGCAACCTCCTCTCCAACAACAACAAAAATGAGCTCCAATGTGCCAACATTTGATTTATAAAGGGGTTTCCAGGGGCCTCATCACTGATTAATTAAAGCAGATACACCTTTGTAGTTCTAACAGGAACATCACGGTCTGCAAGGGCAGAGCAGGGTAGGGGACCGAAGCAGGGCTCACAGGATGGGTAGCTGACGGGAGCAACCTCTCTCCATCAACCTGTTAACTCACACAGCTGGGGAATTAATACAGCAGTGTTAATAATGGGCTGATTTCTATTAAGTAATAAACAACAATACCATGCAGATACCCTGTGGCTCTTACGCAGGCAGATAACACGGCCATCAAATCCCTGCTCTGCTCCATGTTCCTGCCACTTACTAGCTGTGTGACCTTGGACAAGTTCCTTAACCTCTCTGACCTTCAGTTTCCTTATCTGAAGAAAAAGGAGATAGATAAATAATGCCTTCCTCACAGGACTGTTCCAAGTTATAAGAAAGGAAACATTATAAAGCGTTTGGCAGATGTCAGCAGTAATCACTATTTGTACTTCCCAGAGGGTGAAGTCCTCCAATTCCCAGACTGAAAGAGCTCCATTTTACTGATGAACAAAGTGATATTGAAAAAGAAAAGAACTCATGGATAATTAGGGGACACTCAGAAAATGAGCCAGGGACAGAATTAGGAGTAAGAGCCAAGATACAAAACCCTGTGCCAAGTCTCATCTTTTCAGGTTCCTTCATTCATTCCTTTGTTGTTGTTTTTGCTTTTAGGATTTATTTACATACTTTTTTATTCCCCTGTCATATGTGAGCACCAACAATGCGTTCATTCCCTGTTAACTTCTGGGGATACTGAATAAATAGGACCATAGTCCTCAGGTCGGCGGAGGAGAAAGACAAGATTCAGATACGAATCAGCACGTATTGCTTTGATACACAGCCCAGGGAACGCTTTGCCTTGTTTTGAGGGGGAGGGGAATGGAAGCCGAGCAGAATAGTATACACATTGATCCCCAAGGCGGAGGGACCAGCACGTGCAAAGTCACAGAGGCATGCAAAAATATTCCCCTTTTTGAGCACTACAAATTGTCCCCCTCCACTGAAACTTAAGAGTTTATGTGGGTACACTGTGGGTGACACATGTATGGGAATCTGGGGACTGGGGGTTATTTATTATGGTATAGGAGGGGGGCAGAAAAAGGAATTAGCCAGGTGAGAACTGAGGAATTGGCTCCTGAGAAGAATTTATAATTCACAAAACTGAGATACTTCAAGAACGTAAATTGTCGCTTATCTCCGGTCTCCTATTCCTCCTTCCACACCCTGCTCAGATATCTCTCCCTCCAGGAAGCCTCTGAGACTCCCCCAGAATGGGCAGCTCCTGTGCCACGGCCGCCCCGTTGTGGTGTTCACACTGCTGTCTCTCAGCTCGCCCACCCATCCTCCTGGGAACTCTTAAATGGCAGGGAAGGTACAGCCCCATTTCCTCAGCACCCCCAGGGCTAACACAGGCCCGGGCACATGCTAGGCCCTTGGGCAAATGTGATGCACCCTTCCAAGTCCTCAGCTGACCAGCGGTGCTCCTCACCTGCCGAGAGGGTGATGCTGCTGAGCTTCACACGGTACAGGTTGCTCCGGACCCGCCACTGCTGCACCATGGGGTAACCCATGGCCTCGTCATACCTGATGTCTCCTGGGAGAAGAAATGAGATGGTCACAGAAGCCCAGAATTCAGACGCTTCATACCACAGTGCCCATTCTGCGTTCCTCAGCTCTGGGCATCGGCCACCTCTTCAAGGTGGAGGCTTTCATCTCAGACAATTTTATTTCCCCCTCCTCCGATCTCAGGCCCATCCCTGCTATTCCTCTCTGCCCAACAGCTTGTAAGTCTCCTTTATCCTACAAGCAAGAGCAACCACAGTTCCGATTTCCATCCCACCTAACCCCATTGGCAACTTGTCACTGGACGATAGACATCTCAGGGCCTCTGTTTCCACATCTGACATGGCAGCTAGCTCTGATGATTTTATTTCATAGGCATAGGGTGAGACTCAAATAATGTAACAGAAATGGAAGCCTTCGGTAACCTGGGAATGCTGAACAAGTAGACCAAGGGTCAGCAAAGTACTGGCCATTTGCTAGTACTGTCTATAGCTGCCTTTGCACTATCATAGCTGAGTTGAGCAGCTGCAACAAAGAATCCCTACAAAGCCTAACATTCGTTATCTGCCCCTTTGTTTCTAGACCCCCGTGTAGACTATCGCTTCTGAACATGGAAACAGATGTTCGTGAGCATCCCATAAATACTGACGCGATAAAGTTAAACAGTAAAATTTCTCAGCCCCTTGAATAGATAGATTAACATGCATTTTAAGAGTCCAGGAAGGTAATGGGCATACTTCTTTGACTAGAGAATCCCTTTTGTACAGAGGGTCCCCCAGAGCCCTTGTTTTATGGAAGGCTTTGCTGGAAACGTTAAGTATAAAAAATAAACTAAAGAAAAACACACAGAAATGTCAGCAAGTGATTAACTTCGGGAGATGCGTGTATGAGAAACGCTTGTTTTCTGATTTATATTCACCTCCATTTTCTAAATTTTCTATCCTAAGCTTTGCCAACTATCTTCTTTATAATCAAGGAAAAAAATACATAAAAAAGAAATGCTAGTCACATCAGCAGTTATTATGACCGTTGTTATACATCCATGCTTTCTTGTGCCTCTGCAAATGGCAGGCACATTTTCTATCTTTTTCTCTTGTCCCCTGGTGAGTAGGCACTTAAAGAGATATTTGATACCAAGATTAAAATGAGAATCTCATTGGAACAAATGATTTCTTCCTGGACATTACCGCAGTATTAAAGTTGTCCATTACTCTAAACTTTTTTCCCCCCCTCTTTAGCCTTTTCAGAAATAATATAATTTTTTAGAGGCTCTCATTTTAAAGTAAAATATTCATGATCCCCAAAGATATGTCCACTGGAGCAAGGTTGTTTTGTTATAAATATGTCCCCTTTGTTTATCTGCTCTGCTTCTCCTGACC